ATTACAGATATCTCATTTTTCTCAGATTTGACATTTTTGGGATCATCATTGCATAGACTCATGTGACCATGCAATTTCCCTTTCATATTACCAATAAATACCTAATAAACAAGGTGTAAGCCACCCGTTAAAAAAAAATTTTTTTTCAATTTATATTATTATTATTATTATTATTATTTGTTTTTTTTTAGCAAAATGAACATTAGATGTATAATTTTTATTAAATTTTAGTTTATAATTATTATATTAACAATTATTATATATATAATTTTAATTGTAGTCTATTGTTTTTAACCTAGCTATATGAACTTACACTATATAAGTGAACCTATACATTAGGTGGAATTAATCAAGAGGTAGAAGTTTTATTACTAGTTTAAATTATCTAACTTGCAGATTCAATTTATTAAAATATATCTTTAAAAATACTTGTTAATACTTGATAAATTATTTTTTATATCATAATTTAGTTTATGCAGTTGTAAATAGGTTCAATATATAGTATATATACTGTTAGCATAAAAATTGTAGTAGGGGGACATGACGTGACATGTGGGGCCCAGCGCAATACTGCATGGGGGATCGATTATACATCAATCATGCATAACTGATGGGTGCAGAGTTTGTAGAAGTTTGGTAATTCTTCATTACATGACGATAGATTTAGAGACGCATCGTAATCATGTATAAATAGCAGCAGTATTCAATTGTAAGAAATAGACACAGATAAGTCGCGATAGACAATAAACATAACGAATTAATAAAAATCCAATTGTGTGCTAGTGCAACGATAATTAATAAACTTACCTTATTTGTCTCTAAGTCATCCTAGAAAGAATCCACAAGTCCTGCAGTTTGGCAGCGAAGGATTAGAAGAGGAACCAACCTAGAGAAGAGGAAGATAAAGATAATTATCACTACACATACCTTTGGTATTGCCAGCGATAAAGACCCACTCTCCCAACGTCATATGAGTCTTGGTCCAGATTAGCGACAGACTCGCCATTGAGAACAACAATATATTAACAATAGTTGAGATAGTTGAGATAGTTGATATATCTGAGATAATTTTTTGTAATTAGCATGTATATAAGGAAAGCGAAAATGTCTGAATAAATTAACAATTTTTAACTTAACAATTATTTGCTTAACAACTATTTGCTTAAAACTGTTTAACATCTAATTGTTCAAGTAAACTACTTTGCAAATGTGTTGACATTTGAAGGTGAAACTGTGACCATAAAGGACTTTGAAAAAGTTTCAGAGTAGTTTGGAAGTGTGAATGCATCATTGCTATAACAGGAACTTAGGTATAGTTTGAGTAGATGAATGTGCATATTAACGGATGAATTTGAGTTTATTTTTTAGAAAAAGAGCAGAATACTTGGACCAAATTATTACGCCTCAGCCTTAAAAACTTAATTATTTGAGAAGATCTCGAAGGACCCTCACAAAATTTGATAGTGACTGTGAGATTCAATCGAAACAAAGTTTCGCTACCCCCGATTTTTGAAAACGAACGAATTTTTAAACAAATAATTTGACTTCCCCCTTGTAATTGAAAAATGACACTTTATTATTCCCACAATTTTTTTGAACGAACAAATTGATATCCCGATTGAATAACGATATAGTTACGACAAAAAAAAAAGAGAGAAAAATGAAAAAGAGAAATGAAAGAAATACTCTGAATATAACGACACTTTATTACCCCCCCTCGATTTTTTCTTGTGAACGATTTTTTTTATTATTTTTTTAAAAAAATACACAAGATGGCCCACATTGAAAAACCTCTGGACTTTTTGGAGATGAATACGACGAATGATCAAGAGCAGCCATTCCCACTCGTGAAAACAATATGTACTTATTTTTGTGAAAGATTTTTAGAACTTGCCACGATGCTATGGCAGAAGCAATGAAAAGGATACCCGAACGACATGAACAGATTGGGTGAGAAACAAACTGGGTGCCAGTAAGAATATACTATAGGACAGAACAAGAAGACCCTATAAAATGGATAAAGGCCTTCAAAAGAGCAGCAATGGCAAACAATTGGACAGAACGAAGACGAACACAGATTGCCTCTGAATATCTCGCCGGAATAACAGTCAGTTGGTACGACGATAATTGGCGCACCATAGACTACTGGAACAATGACGAACACAGGGATCGAAGTTTTGTCCCGAGATTCGTGAAATATTTTACCACCCCGGAATGAAGACACAAATGACAGATGGAGCTCAACACAATAATACAGAAGAACGAAGAGAGAGTGGATACTTACACGTATCGGTTCAAGCAGTTGCTAAGACACGTAAACTCGGAACATCGCCTGCCGACTACATATGTCATATGATTGTTCACTGGTGAATTGAAAGGAAAGATTGCAAGGTTAATGCCACTGGTAGAGCCCACCACACTAGACGATGCGATCGCAAGTGTGCAAAAACTGGAAGCTGGAGAATACTATACTGGCAGAAAACAGGAGAATAACCCAGCTAATGATGCCATCAGCAGCCTAACGAAACAAGTACAAGAAATGTCATCAAAGCTGACCACGATAATAAGAGAGAAGGAAAATACTAGAAACCAGAGTTACTGACTCACCGGATGCTTCAATTGTGGAAGACAAGAACATAGAGCCCATGAATGCCCCGAGCCAAGGAGACTGTTACCACAAGTTGTCAACCCTCGTGACGTGAACCTTTGCAAAGTAGAAAATAGTGACGACGAAGCTTATGTTGCTACTAGATCACGACACCAGCCGTACACCATTAATTGTCCTAAAAAAAATGAATTGAGTAAGGAATCTATTGGAAGAACTGTGAGCCAGCCATGACAAACAGAACAAGCACAACCGGTACAACAGGAAGAGTGCATTCAATCAACACAACTAGTAGAAATGGAGATCACGGCAGAACCTGCAAAAAAGAATGCCACACCGCGAGTTAAGCATCAGAGAGGACCGTCAGTAGTAGATCAAGCACCTCTATACAATGTTGCAGAAGACTTGTTGAGTCAGAGAGCTAATGCCACGTATGCCCAACTATTGCAAATTCCGAAGCAATGACAGCACCTGGCACAAGTATTGAAACGACCTATCATCACCCCCACGGAAGTTGACTATGTGGAAGACCAGCCCCAACAAACCTCAGCAGCTAGATGTAATGTGAAGATAAGAAACAAACCAGTTATAGCAGTATTGGACTCTGAAGCTGCAGTGAGCATTATGTCAAAGAAATTGCTTACCAAGCTTGAACTACAGATTTCGGAACCATCTAATGCTGTTGTCGTCACTGCGAACAGAACATGGGAAAGAGCTTTAGGAAAATTGAAGAACGTAGCATTACAACTAGGAAGAATCACTGTACCTACAGATTTTCAGGTTATAGAATCTACGGAAAAAATGATGCTATTAAAAATGAGTTGGTTTAAGAAGTTATGTACCCGCCTATATTTCGACGAACAAAAGTTAATCATTACCCACAAAGGAGAAAGCATAGAGCTACCTATTCACCAGAAAAAAGAAGTTAAAATAGAAGAACTGAAGGAAGAGAAAGAGGATTACGAAGAAGATGACTATTTCGACACATACGAGGAAGAAGATCTGGATGAAGTAGAAAGTTACTTGACAAACGATCAAGAGGACTTATATACCAACCCATGGATCGACGAGCATAGCCCGGCAGTATATTTGACGATGATCGAAGAAGTTCTGACACCTGAAGAGACCGAACGACCTATACAACCTCTAGAAGGAGTAATAGAAGAATTAGTAAATGCCGAAGTCATCGATGACGACCAACGAAAGCAGACTATTCACTTACTAGAAGAAAATAAGGAAGCCTTTGCCGACAGATTGGATCAACTGGGACAAACTGACGAAGTACAGCATGAAATCGATACTGGAGAAGTGAAGCCAATTAAACAACATGCATATAGAGTGTCCCCTAGTGAGCAAGAGTTTTTGGAAGAAGAAATTCAGAAAATGAAGGAAAAGAAATTAATTAGTGAAATTAAGAGCCCCTGGACATCTCCGGTAGTGATAGTCCCAAAAAAAGGAGGAAAATTACGATTATGCATAGACTATCGAAAGCTGAATGCAGTCACGAAGAAAGATTCATACTCTCTACCTAGGATTGATGACTTGTTAGAAGCTTTTGGGAAATCAAATTGGTTTTCGAGTCTAGACCTAGCTAGCGAATATTGGCAGATTATGATGAGAGAGAAAGATAGAGAGAAAACCGCGTTTATTACGAAACAAGAAACCTACACGTTTAACGTAATGCCCTTTGGGTTGCATAACACTACACTAAAAGAACGGAGAGCATGATGGATCTTACGATTACAGCCGTACCAGTATATTATTCAGCATAGAGCCAGACAGAAACACCATAATGCCGATGCACTATCTAGAATTCCGAATCATAAGGAACCAGCGAAAAGAGAAGGAATAGGAGACGAAAACTTAATTAATTATTGTCAGATGAAGTACCTAGGATATGAAACACAACCCACCTGAGAATTGCGATATTGACTGGCTGCCATAATCAAGAAAAGAATAAAATCTGATGAGAAACACAATCCAGCCCAGGTTGTCAGTGTCCTGGCACTAATAAGAATCAAGATGGAACAACAACGATATGACGCAATCAAGACTTACCTATTGTACCAAAGATACCCACAAAATTTCGACAAGCAACAACAATGATGATTAAGAGCACAAAACAAATTCTTTCATGTGCAAGACAACCAATTATTCAAGAAGAATAGATCAATGAAGCAAAACAATTTAATTAGAGTTCTGACGGAAACAGAAGAGGATTCAGTACTAGCATCAATATATGATCACCCACTGGAAGACATTTTTCAATAGATGTGATGTTTAATAAGATTTGGGAGTACTATTATTGGCCGCAGATATACAACTTCATACGAGAATATGTTAGGATGTGCGAGCGATGTGTGAAAGGAAAATTGCATGGTCACATGAGTCTATGCAATGATGATCCCAAAAATGTCAAATCTGAGAAAAATGAGATATCTGTAAT